GACCTCGAAACTGGGACCAAAAAGTGGGCTAAGGTGTGCATTGGTAAGTAACATCGAATCTAGGGAACCCACCCCGGTGGCGGGGCGTTCCTCTAAAAAGCAGTGCTTTATAAAGATTTCATAACTCGGTTGGGAAGAAACCTACAGAGCCGAAAACAATTCGGTGTAAGGGAGCAATGTCTAAGGTTTTCCCGCATACATGACATGGGCGGAGCGCTGCCCAGATGGGCGGGGCGCGCTCTGAAGTGTACAGCATTTTCTACAAGCCCTCATAATTCGGGTCGGGGAAGTCCTAAAGAGCCGGAAAAAGTGGACAGAGGTGTATGGAGGATGGAGGCCAGCTATCAATGTTGGGCGGGCTTGACCAAAGTGGGCGGAGTTTGCGACGAAAAATTTATAACTCGGCTCCATGAAGCTCCGAGGCTGGGAAAAAGGTGAATAGAAGGTGGGTGAGGATGAAGGTTAACTGTCATTGGTGGGCGGGACCTGACCAAAGTGGCGGAGTTTGCGACGAAAAATATAAAACTCGGCTCCAAGAAGTCCGCGAGGCCGGGAAAAAGTTGATGGAGGTGGGTGGGGAAAGTGGAGGCAGCTGTCATCGGTGGCGGAGCTTGACCAAAGTGGGTGGAGTTTGCGACGAAAATTCAGAACTCTGTTCCAGAAGGTCCCGGAGAGTGGGGAAAAAGAAGATATAGTTGGGTGAGAAAGTGGAGGTCAAAGGCCAATGGTAGGCGGGGCTTGGCCAAAGTGGGCGGAGTTTGCGACGAAAATTCATGACTTGGCTCCAAGAAGTCCCTGAGGCCGCGGAAAAGGTAGATGGAGGTGGTGAGGAGAGTGGAGGCCAGCGTGTCAATGTGGGAGGGACATGACAAAGTGGGCGGAGTTTGCGACGAAAATTCATAACTCGGCTTCAAGTAGTCCAGGAGGCTGGGAAAAAGGGAGTAGAGGTCGGCGAGGAAAGGAGGTCAAATGCTATTAGTGGGTAGAGCACGCCCCAAGTGGCGGAGTTTGCCAAAAGTATCGCAATTCGGTTGCAAGAGGTCCTAGAGATAGGGGAAAACGGGTTAGAGGTTGGTGAGGGAAAAGAGCTCAACTGCTATCACTGGGTAGAGCACGCACCTAAGTGGGCGAGTTTGCAAAAGTGTCGAATTTGGTTCCAAGAGTCCAGAGACCGGTGAAAAGGGGTAAAGGTCGGCGAAAAGAAGGGAGCCAAATGCTATTGGTCGGCAGGGCACGCACCGAAGTAGACGGAGTTCGCCCTAGATTTATTGTCCGGCCGAGGACCGAGAAAAATAGGATAATGGTTGACGAAGAAAGAGCGCATAGAATTTAGCGGAGAATTCAGATATTCGTATTGTATCAAGCCAAATTTGAAATTTTTCGTCGCACCATCAAAAATCGCCACAGATCTGTGTTGCGCGCGCAATGCGTGCGGCGCCAACTGGTTAAAATATACGTGAATCACTCACCTGCAGCTTTCCACTGCCTCCACTATATGCTCTCCTTCCTCGAACGGTTCAGGCTCGATACCTAGGTAAGAAAATTCCAAAACCAACAGACTTTTTCTTGAATACTAATGAAAGGACCCAAGTTGGCACGCTATACAGTAACTTAGATAGAAAACAACCTTTAAAAAGATACGGATGAGCGACGCTTTTCCGTAGTTGCATTTGTAAGTTAATCAAGGACTGGTATTTATTGCTGCTGTTACGAGCAGAGATTCTGAAACAGAATAATCAAAGCAGACCACCAAGAAGAACTTCGCACGATGTTCTCAGTACATAAACAATCTCGCTTAAGGTTTCAGAATCGAGTATCATACTAATATATAAACCAGAGTTTGTTTTCACGCTCCGCAAAAATTCGAAGTGTCCCCCACATGTTTAATAATTCTTCCCTCAAAATCATCTAGGGAGGGCGGGTCAAGCTTGGAATGGGAGAGTATGACCGCTCTATAAAGGGATATATTGGCCGCGCTAAAACTCCGCCTCCAGTGGCGGGGCGTACGTCGAAATTAAACAATTCGGCGAAAAATTGCAGTTTGTTGCTTCAGAACGTCTAAAGACAGGGAAAAATAGTGTCTTATAGGGCACTTACCGCTCTATAAATGGAGTGTATTGCCATGCTAAACTCCACCCCAGTGGCGGGGCGTGCGTCAAAAATCGAAATTTGGTTAAAAATTGCAGTTTTGGCTTCAGAACAGTCCAAAAGACAGGGATAAATTGGGCCTTAATAGGTACTAACCGCTCTATAAGGGAATATATTGCGCATGCAAACTCCGCCTCCAGTAGGCGGGCTTGCGCTTGAAGTGAAATTTTTCGTGAAAAAAGGCGTTTTTCGTCCAAAAACATCCAAGAAACCAGGAAATGGGGGTTGAATAGACCATAGATCACCCCTATAACTCATCCACGATAGTATAATCGCTAAGCGGTTGTGTGTGTGGTGTGTGTCTGTGTGTTGTGTATGTGTTTTGTCTGTCTGACGCGGAATCATAGCCGGGCACCACGTGGTCGTCAAGGAGTTTGGTTTTAAGATATGAATAGAGGTGGGACGGGAACATATTTGGTGGGGGTAAAGAAAGTGATTCACAAACTGCCATACGGCTTGATAAAAGGCGCTAGAAACGGCAAGTGTCCGCGAACATCATAGCTCGGGGCCCCCAGTGGTCCGTCAGGAGTTGGTTTTTTAAGATATGATGTGGGGGACGGGAACATATTTGGTGGGGTAAAGAAAAGTGACACAACGTGATACAGGGCTGATTAAAAGGCGCTAGAACGCAAGTGTCGCGAAATTCATCAGCTCGGCACAACAGGGTCGTCAGGAGTGGTTTTACAGACATATGATGTCAGGGGGTGGGACGGGAAGACACTATTTGTGGGTAAAGAGTGATCCCAACTGATAGGGCTGATAAAAAGCGGCTATAAAGAACACCAAGTGTCGGCGACATCCATCAGCTCGGGCACCCAGTGGTCGTCAGGCACGTTGTTTTAAGATAATGATGGTAGGGGGTTGGAGCCGGAAATATTTTGGTGGGGTAAAGAAAGTGACCAACTGGATAAGGGCTGATAAAAGGCGCTAGACGCAAGTGTCGCGAAATTCATAGCTCAGGGCACCAGTGGTCGTCAGGAGTTTGGTTTCAAGATATGATATGGGGTGCGGGGAACATTATTATTTGGTGGGGGGCAGCAAAGTGATAACGACTGATATGAAGCCAGATAAGACCTGAACATAATTTTCACAAAATTCATAGTGCGCTTCGCAGCAGTCGTCAGTAGCTGATTTTGGGGCCTGATAATGGTGGGGGTGGGAGGTAACAATGATTTTGTGGGAGGGGGGGTCCCCCGCCGAAAAGTGATAACCGACACGATGAGGGCTGAAAACACGATAAGTAAACGTAGAAACGTGAGATTACTCGAACACACATTGTAGACCTCGCCGAGTTGCGCCCCAGGCCAAGAGTGCAATAATGCATTTCATTGCAAACATTTCACCTAGCGTTAAATAATTTAAAATTCACAACACCTTTTCAACCGCTAGCACACCTTCTAGAGTTTCTAGGGATGGATGGGATGCCTCTAAAAATTTGATAGTGACTACTGTCATTCCGTCTGAGTACCGAAATTATTCCTCTCTAAATTTTCCTCGATTCTCGAATGCACCTGGTGGTTGTTTACACACACCACTTTAGCTGTGCACTCACTGCGCTTATCAAAACAGTTAGATACAGCAAGATGGGCAACCCGGGGAAACCCCGCCCGCCCCCCAGTAAAAAGCCGCTCAATTTTTTTTTAACCGAAGCAGCGTATAGTCCAGCGGTGAAACCCAAAGCTTACTACTCGCTTGTCCAGTTCGTCGCGCTTCCGTGTCATGCGCGCGGTAGCGGGCGGAGCTAAACTGGTAGCTACTATACTAAAACAGAGTTTTGTTTGTCTGACCGCGTCGCCCAAAAATTCGCAAGTGTCCCGCCAGCATGTTTATAAATTCTTCCTTGCAATAAAATCATCTAGGGAGGCGGTCAAGCTTGGAATGGGTAGAGTAATGACGCAAATGAGGGCAAGAGCAGAATCCTCAAAGACTTGAACATTCCCAGGCGTCATCCATGAAGTTCACAGTTTTTATAGTATTTGTTTTCTGAGACCACTCGACCCATTCAATTGCCACCGCATTTCCTTCCAAACCCAGCCCTCGGCCTAGTGGGGGGGGCAAATACCTTCTGATGAAACGGGGAAATCTCGAATTTGGAACTTTCGCGCATGATAACTTCTTTCGCCGTAATCAGCGAAAACTGGTGGCGCTATTAACACAGTTGACGACACGACGCTGTTTGGCATTTTTGGCCGCGGTGGGAACAGAGCGTCTGCGAGCGCCGCCGCCTCACAAACAAATCTGTGGATTTTGAGCTTTGAATACGCAATACTTCGATGTACATAATGTTTTCACTGATATTCGTGTGTCAAACTTATCGGAAGGTACACATGTGAAAGTGCGGTCGAATGATGTGTTACAGCATTGAAAAGGCAAGTTTCACTTACTTTTGCTTTGGTGACTTCAAATTTATTTAGGACGTGGTTGTTTCGGTAAAAACACATATATTTCCACACGAGTAGTTTTGTACTCTTTTCTAATATTCTTTTTTATCTACATGTTCGTGTTAATGAAGAGAAAACGAGGAATGAACTGAACGGATATTTTCGTCCGGTCCGAAAAACCTCTACCAAACTAAAGAATATTTGGTCATTCTATAAGCCGCGTGGTTATTGGTTATGTTGTGGTATGATCTAGAAAATAAACACAAAAAACCTGGGAAGAAATGGCGCGTTCAAGAAAAAACTGAATGTAAAGGGTGTGGCAACTATAGTTGCCACAATGTCCATTGCGGCGTGCAAAACGCGGCAAACCTAATTGCCGCGCTGTCGTCAAGGTGTTAAATAGCCTTGAAACGAGGAAAACAATCAATTGTCATAACTTCTCCTATTCTTCCACCCTCTTTCTCCTCCCTTTCACGTTATACCTAGACCACCAAATCCCAAACCACTCTCATCAGTAACACTTCTGCCATGTTCCAGATTCTCAAATACATGAAAGTAATCCGGCCCGAGAAGGCCTGCAAACATGGGAAGATGCTTGACAAAAAAATACGTGACTTTATCATCACGTGCACAAAGCAAAAAGAGAATGATAGGAATGAACTATTCATTCTGTGCATGAAATACCCTTCAGCTTGCTGAGCACTGATCATTCCGGCGGGGTGTGAATAGGTGTAAACTGGGTATCCCACTGCAATTATAATTCTTTTCTAGGACGGCTCGAAAAGCCGAAAAAATATTCCGGGAGCTCGGGATTTCATTGCCATAAGTGTTGTTGTTGAAAAGTTTTGAGCTATCAACCGATACGGATTATATATACATAGGTTTTCCCCTAGGGGGTCAGAATTGGTCACCTCTCACACTATTCACTGGGTGAGGTCGCAGCAACCAAAATTCTATACGGCCATGTATGATTGCATACGTATTGCGCAACTCGGGTCAGTATCATCCCTCACAAGTCATCTACTCACCGCAGCCGTCTCTCGCGCTTGGTATCGTGCGCAGCCCAACTGATAGAAAGAAATGTTGCGAAAAGCGTTGTTTCTAATTTCCTTTGCCCTCACTTTCCTGAAGGAAGGACAGAAGGAGAACGCAACTGTAAGAGCTATCGTCAATAGCAGAACTCACCGTGATCTCTCGCTATTATGTCCAAGTAGAGCTTCTTCTGTAGTTCAGTGATGTTGTGATAAATTATCACCTGAATGAAAATAATGAACAATTACGGATTGTAACCAAATCCATAAAACTCCAGCGTTATCACAGCGCGTAGTTTATACCAAAACCAGGTTTGCTCCGCCCGATACCGCGCACATCCCAGGGTAGGGAGGAACCACGGAATGGCAGCATGATGTACTCCATAACCACCTTACTACTGTGTGTTATACCTCCTTATACCCCTCCTCTCCGGCGCAGGTAGCCCCACATTCTCCCTCCCTTTCTCCTCTCCCCCTTCCCTCCCTTTGTCCTCTCTCTCCTCCCTCTCACTCTGTCTACCCCCCCCCCTCCCGGTTGCCACGGCAGCACCATGTAGAATGAGGCTGAGTCTGCTCGATAGGTGTTTATATAACCGTTGTGGTGTTATCATGATCATGACATCAACATCCCGAAGTGTTGCCCTTCGAAGTCCCCTTTTCGTTAGCGGTCGGTTCGGACGGACAGAACGACACACACACACACCGACAAACCGACACACCAAACTATTGGTTTATATAATGAAGTGATGGCACTATGGGAGAACTTATCGACACTTCAGCACTCCTCTTCTCCACATTTATATGTTTGCATGTTTAAGTCATTGGCTCCGCACCTACTCCACTTCTTGCTACTCTCACTTCCTGACGCATAACAGGGCACAATTTCAGAGGAACCTTACTTCATCTTACCTTACAGACACCTCTCAATTCGGATAGACTGAAGAATATCTAGAAACATACCTGATCACATGACGGCAGCTCTTTGCATACAACATCTTTGGTACGCCGAATGAGATATTGAGACAGGATCTTTCTCAACTCGGGTAGCTTCGCGTCATTCTTATAACGTTCCACAAATTCCTCCCTCGCTGTTATTTTATCCGCAAAACGTTCCTGAGATGAACTATATTAAAGCAAAACTAAGGCACGAAAACAAAAGTACTCACGGGATGGACGAATGTGAATAGAGAGTAAAGTTCACCCAAATGGTTTTGAATTGGGGTACCAGTCATGAGCAGGAACCACGCCAGGCTTCGGTACTGAAAAGAAGTGCAGATTAACTATGTCCAGATATGAGGGGCGGTTATTACGAAACATGACCCTGCCTAAAAATTTGATTTCTATATTTCGAGGACTGAACCTTCTATTTTATAAACCGCTAACTTGGTGTGTCGGTTTGTATGTACAGTCGATATCTGAAAGTTGGGCTAGGCGTGTCACCGGAAGTGACGTGCACTTGATAGAAGTTGCTTGAATAAGCTGTTGCCAGCATGCTTTGCTGATATCCAGCGACGCCTACCCCAACTCTCAGATGTCGAGTATATGTCTGTCCGTCCGCAAAATTAAGTGAGTGATAAGGCAGCTAATGGCATCAACAACCGCTAACAGAATCATGCAGCTCGCAGGACTTGGGCTCTAAATGTTTTACAATGGTATGATTATGATAATACCCCAACGGCTAAATAAACACCTACTGAGGTCACTTCCGGTCATTCCACATGGTGCTGCTGTGGCAGCTGGAGGGCAGTGGAGGGGGGGGGACGGGGTGTTTGGGGAGAGTAGGCGGAAAATCAATCCCCAGCAGGCCTCTGGTGCAACTAGATTTTGATAAGTCATCTCAGGACGTAAAGCATACGCGTGGAAGGAAGGCCCCAGCAGTCAGCAGGAGACCAACCTGGTGATTGTAAAATAGAAGTACCCATCATCGTGTATCTCTAAACGTCCATCATACATTCTTAAAGACCTTGGGGAGTGAACGGTCGAACAATATTTTATGTTGATGAAGAAATGAGATGATGTTGGAATGAAATGCGTTATCTACAATAGGATTTTAGGTGATTTCAATGTTCCTATGCACACTGTGATTATCGCTCCTTATCGGCCCTTACCAGTTCCTGTCTCCATGGAACATGTTCCCCTCCCATCCCATATATCACTTATTGGAACCAACGCCCCACTGCTACTGGGACGCGCGCTACGAATTTTGTAGAAGTTGCGTTCTAGCGCCTCTTAACAGCCCTTATCGGCCCTTATCACCTCCTGTTCCCCAGCAAACGTGTCCCCGCCTCACCCACTATATCAAATCCGAGGGACACCGCCTCAGTGCTGCTGGCGTGCGCGCTATGAATTTCGTGACCCTTGCGTTCTAACGCCCCATCCCAAACCTATCCCAAACCTCCCGTTCACACCGACTACAAGGGAAGTTTGTCATTGTGATGGACAGTGCTCGACCACACCACGCGAGTACGACGACGGAAAAGCTGGAAAGACTTGGCA